ATGTTTACCTTTATTTTTTATTAATTACTCCTTTTAATTTTTTTGCAAGTACATGATGGTGATAAGTATAGATGCCTAAAAATTGTGATTAATTTGATGAATAAAAAATAAAATTGAAATACAATAAGCACTCTCAACCTTTCGATCAAAATCAGACAACAAAGTTCATTTTTTTTGAGTAAAAGAAGCACTTCAGATATTAAACATTTGAACCAATCTTTTGGGCTAAAAAAAAGACAAGTGTGAGTCGTTCGGACATTGAATGGCTGAAACCTATTTGGACTTACCTTAGCCATCTATCCACACCACCTTGTCTAAGGCACCATAGATCTTTAGACATCAGCCTCATCTGTGAGCACACCATGCACCAATGCCGCACCACCCTGACCTCTTTTACAATCAAGGCCATGGGAACTCACCTCCCTCATATATAGTTGTTGGTTTAAAGAATTGGCTTGTTAGGAGAAATGGCTAACTCTGCCAACGTTGCATAAGTCGGCCTAGCCTGCATGAGATTCTTGCCGAGTAGTGGTTGGTCAATGGGGATTCCCTGACTGAGCCCTTGACAAACCCACATGCACCACTTGGCCTATTTGTATGAGGCTAAGGAAAGGAGTAACAATCCTCCCCCACCTCAACTTCGACGTCTTCATTGGACACTTGTCCTCCACCCCATAAACCACAACTTTGGCCATAGCTCATGCTTGCCTGGATCAAGCCTCTTGTGTAGCCCCTCTCATACTTGTTCATGTCTGTTGTTGCCAAGAGTCTCTTCTCGTTCACTTGGCCAGGTCCAATGCCGCCCCCAAATCTTTGCTCATGCACATGCAGTTAGGTCTTCAAGCTCCACATTTGGTGAAGCTGAAAGGGCATTTTATTTAGTTTTTAGTGATGTACAGACCATTTGTAAAATTTCCCTCTTTAGAGAAGAGTACCTCTAATGTTCTGAACCTTGCGGTACTTGTGTATTGTGTATAACCAGACCATGTTATAATTTTTTGTTTCCTTTGTATCTTAGAAACAAATTTGCTTGGAGCAGTGGACTCTTCATGCTTGGACACAGGAAGCTTGAAAAACGTTTTTATAAGGGAAATTGTTCAAAGTATTACTTTATTTTTCAAAAATTCAAAAAATGCCTTATTTTCTTGAAATTTACATCCATAATTTGTTTTTTTTTGTTTTTGTTTTTTTTTAAGAGATTGTATACGAGGAGACTATTTACCTTTTATATAAAGAGGTTATGATTACTTATAACCATGTCATGTGAAATCATATGGTTTGGATATGCTACAAAGTTTGAAAAAAAAAATTTTAAAATTTGAGCTTGGTCAATGCAATAAATGTAGCCACCCAATTTCACATTTAATAGTCAAAATAAGTTAGACCATCTTGTATCAACGGTAAATGATTTCATTATATACTTTTTCATATTTTAATACTAGTATTCTAGACCAAAGAACGTATGAGGTCCGTAGCAGCCTAAGACACACGCATTGGAATCTACAAGCCAACAAAAGTCAAAAAGGATCATGCGCTTCCTT